AACCAAAAAAAAAAAAAAAAAAAGTGGAATATTGCAATCTTCAACTCTTATTGTTGAGCTATTTTCCTCTTCATTCTTGACAATTTTTACTTTATGCATTTGGGTGCTTTATTTTTATATACACATATCTTTACCATTATATATATTTTCCTGATGGGTTGACGATTTTGCATCAAAGAGCGTGGTGGCTCATGCCTGTAAACCCAGCACTTTGGGAGGCCAAGGCAGGCGGATCACGAGGTCAGGCGATCGAGACCATCCTGGCTAACACAGTGAAGCCTTGTCTCTACTAAAAATACAAGAAATAAAAGTTTGCAGTGAGCTGAGATTGCACCACTGTACTCCAGCCTGGGGGACAGAGCAAGACTCTGTCTCAAAAATAAAATAAAATAATAATATTGGCTCAGGAAAATATGCATAATATTCAAACAGTTTAGCCGCAGCCTAATTTCTGTGCACCCAGGCTAATTAATGTTCTTGGGAACTAATTAGAGCTGACATGTACAGCCAGCCTTTTGCTTACTCTGCGGGATCTTGTTCTGTATGATTTCTCTAGGGGGAGCCTGCTCACTTTGAGTATTTGATGTATCCATTGCACTCAGCACCCATCACCGGTCTAGCTACCTGCATCCGCAAACCCCTCATAGCCACCTGTTCTCTGGATCGATCCATCCGCATTTGGAATTATGAAACAAAGTAAGGAATGAAAGACTTGCCTACTTTAATATGCAAGACTCCAGTTGTTAATTTGTTTATGTGTATTATTTTAATTACAGTGTTTCAAACTTTAATTACTTAGAAGCTTTCAGTTGGAAAAGATTTTTTAAAAATCAAGTCAGTCAGCCTACCTGTTTCTCACTCTTGCATGGGCTAGAAAACTACTTTGTGGTTTACTTAATGCTTACCACATGCCAGACACTGGGGACATGAAGATATGAAGATAACACCCCAGTCTCTCACCTTCTTACATAAACTCCTGTGTCCCTCCAGCTCTCCTATCCCCTTGTTTCCCACAGGAACTGCTCTTTGCTTCAGGGAGCTCTCCAGACCCTTTCTTCCTCCTCTTTCTCCCAGGACATCACTATCCCAACCCAGATTTTACCTTCTGGCACAGCTTCCCTGGGAAGCTCCGACCCTAGTTGGACTCCCACCCCCCCGCACTGTTTTCTTTGTTCTTGTGTACAACTTCTGGGGCTTCTAGGGAAAAAATACTTGGACAATACTCATGAATTTTGGAATCTAAACAGCTGTGTCTTCAGCATTGCTAGACCACACTTTGACCAATCTCCTTATCTACCATGCTCCATGCTGGACATTATCCCCTCATAACCAAAATCTAGAAAAGAGAGGAACCAACAATTGCAAATAGTAGTGTATCTCAAATACTATGATAACAACATATATCAGATACAGTGGATGACTGGAGGGATTTAGTGAGCTAGGCTTACAATTCAGTAATTGATCTTTTTCACAGCACTCTGGAACTATTCAAGGAATACCAAGAAGAGGCATATTCCATCAGCCTTCATCCATCTGGACACTTCATTGTAGTAGGGTTTGCTGACAAACTACGCCTCATGAATCTACTCATTGATGATATACGTTCTTTCAAAGAATACTCTGTTAGAGGATGCAGAGAGGTAAAAAACTGCTGAAGACAAAAGTCCAGTTTCTTAGAAAGCCACGGCTGAAATATCAGGAACTAACATGGTCTGGGGAGGTGGGACCAAAATCTGTCTTGGAGAACTATAGTGGCTTAAAAAAAGTGGGGAGGGGGAAATCCAGTTCTTTTCCCAGCAACCTTATTGAGTATATGCTTCCATCCCCATTTTCTTATGTCCACCAGACTATTTCATTGAACCTAAAACCTTGTGAGATCCCCGCTATGATAAGTCCTGTCTGTAATGGTGGAGTATTAGCAAATATTTTAAAAGAAAAGTAATCTCAGAATCAGAGTCATAGCTAGGAAGGTGAGGTTGGAGACAGGAGCCACGGAAAAATAAGCATCAATGGTGAGAGGCAGGAAAGAGCTCATCAGCTTTCCCCAAGGTGACTTGCACAAACAAGGCAATGACTTCAGGAATTACTTCCCCCGCTCTAAAACGTGCTTCTACAGGCAAAATGACTGCTTGTGGTCCCAACGGCTTCATGATTTGTGGGCCTGGCAGTGTCAGCATCTGGCCACTATGAGTCACAGGAATAGTGAAAGTGTCTGAAAATGTCAGCCACTCCTCAATCTCATTTGCACCTTACCCCCATTCCCACCCTCACATGTAGTTTCAGTCCGAACTCTTGGGAAAATCACCTCTTGACTGTAACCTCTAATTAGACTGCTCGCTTCCTGCTTGCTTGCTCTCTTGCTGTCTTTCCCTGTAGTGTTCCTTTAGCAACGGAGGTCACCTGTTTGCTGCAGTCAGTGGAAATGTGATTCACGTTTACACCACCACGAACCTAGAGAACATCTCAAGCCTGAAAGGACACACAGGGAAGGTGAGTGAGTGAACGGTCTCCAGGGAAACAAGTGGCCCAGAGCCAAGCATGCCGCCAGCCAGTGGGATGCAGGTGAACAAAAGAGAGGTGGTTCCTTTCCTCATGGGTTCACTGTCTACTTGGGGAAAGACACAATAAAACAAATGCGCAGACAAATGTAATTACTAATTGCAGTTCCACTGAAAGAAAAACATGGTGTTGTTATAAGAGAAATAATGAAGGGGGCGGCATAATTTAGGTGGCTGTATTTGCAAACGCTTGGTCCTATAAGAGTGAGTAGGAGTTAATCAGACAGAACTGGTGGGAGATAATCATTGCAGATAGGGATCCAAAGGCCAGAGATGGGAGATTCATGGGGTGTCAGAGGACATGAAAGTCTGTGGACCTGGAACGTGGTGCCAGGATAAACCATGGTAAAGAATGGGCTGAGATTGGAGAGGTCACAAGGGCCCAAATGCATGGAAACTTGTAGGCTTTGTAAGGATTTATCCTTCTTATTCCTTGAAATCATTGAAGACTTTCAGGGCAGAGAATGATATGACTAGATTTGCATTTTGAAGGATTACTTTGGCTGCAGAGTGAAGACTATTGAAGGGGGTGAGGGTAGAAATGGTAAGGAGGCTATTGTGGATATCTACACCATAGATAATAGTGGTGGTGGTACAGTTAGGGAGAAGGGGATGGATTCAGATGATTTTAGCAAGTAAAGTCGTGGGCTCATGCCTATAGTCTAAGCACTTTGGGAAGCTAATGCAGGAGGCTCGCTTGCACTCGGGAGTTCGAGACCAACCTGGGCAGCATAGGGAGACCCTGTCTCTACAAAAAGTAAAAAATATTTGCCAGGTGTGATGGCACACACCTGTGGTCCCAGTTACTTGGGAGGCTGAGGCGGGAGGATCACTTGGGCCCAGGAAGTCAAGGCTGCAGTGAGCCATGATCACACCACTGCACTCCAGCCTGGCTGACAGAGTAAGACCCTGTCTGGAAAAAAAAAAAA